AAATTTCTGAGTCATTTTGGCAAAATAAATAATTTATGGTGCTCTGGAATTTCAAAATCAAACTTCAGTTTCAAAATTGTCTTTCCTAATGCCTGATATTTTGGATAGATGAGAGGGCCCCTGAAAACATCCAGAAAGGAAGTAAACAGGATTATTTGACATGTTTAAGTACATGGGATTGCAAAAATGATGTTCAGTCTTCTTTAGGTTATATTTTTGTGAATAATACTAATATGTGTTACAAAATTGTATGGGATTTCTAAAATGTTAATGTCTAAGTATATGCTATCAATTATAATCATGATTATTATGCTAAGTTATTGTAAACCACAAAAAATTTTTTCTTGTCCGTGCTATGTACCTAATTTGGAAAAATAACTAGTATCCAAGATAATATAAGTCTAATGTTAATTAAGCATGGCCTCATGGAGAACCAGGATGGCCACCTTGTCCTTCCTGAGTCCTTAAAGCTTTTATTATTAAGAGTTCTGCATTCCATGACTCAACATGGAAAAGATAAAATGATCCAAATTGAACACATTGATGTAGTGACTTACAAATTACTAACATAGTTTATAACCAATGTTTGATCCCATATTCCTGGGAAAACAATTAAAGCTTCAGGTTCAATTGGTCACCTGGTAGGACACTTAAACATTTTACAAAGGGATTTCATTCAATTGTTATTTTCAATGCATGTGTCTGGTTGTATAAAAGCTTTCCCACGCAAGAGGGCTGATGTTATAACAGTAGATTATTATGCTATAGTGTATTTTCACCAGGTAAAAAAGCTTTTTATAGTTTAGATCTTCTGAGAACATCAGAGAAAGACTGTCATTGCCATCCACATGCAACAAAACTTCAGGACCTAGAACTTTGGGTTCATAATCTCAAAACTGTGAAGGGTCCCTCCATACTCTTGGAACTATATACCCATTGGAACCCTTGGGGTAAGGCTACCCAGGGAGGTTTCTCCCCAGAAGAGGATGGCATCCTTGATGTGAACAGCTTTTCCCAAGTTCACAGATTAAGGCCTCTGCTATCATGAAACTCTTATCTTTGAACATTTTCCCTTGCTTATGCCTCTATGAATAATAGAAGTGAAAAAGGGGTCTGTTTTGTGCACTTATGGGGTGTACTTTTATTCACGAAGGAGTTTGCAGCCAGCCTTATACATGGAGAACCTTATACTTTGATGGATAAAGGACAAAGGCCCAATGTAGGTTTAAAAAAACTTTGATGGTACCTCATTATGGTCGCCTCATAATCAGTCAGAAACAAAACATTGGTTCATTTGTCTTAACCCACATCATGGGTTAAAGATAACACTGCCAGGAGGCCTTCACTCTTCTAGAAGGGCATCATTTATTAGGTCCTTTTTCCATGGTTTAAAGTAAAAGAAGTAAAAGAAGCAATGATTAGCAATATAATAATAGTGGTTTAAAGTAAAAGAAGCAATGATTAGCAATATATCCCTCATGATAGGCTCTACAGCAAATTCTACTGTAAAGGCTACAGTTACACAACAGACTTTAAATTTTCTTGTGAAAGTTATGATAGAATTGGCTGAACAAAGACGTATCTGTGCAGCTGCTGGCACATGTGGCCTATGGAGAAATACATCAAATGAAGATTATAGGAATTCAGTGCTAGTGGATTAACAAAGAAACTGCTTAGTTAAGTCATTCTTTGGTCTCTTTGATTTTAGGAGGTTTGGCTTGTGGGGACCTTGGGCAAGGAGCATACTCCAATTTCTTACTATTATCCTCCCAATAGTCATAGTAATAGTCTTCCTATTGGGCTGTATTCTCTCAAAGGTTTTGAATGCTTGCTTGCAGCCATCTCTAGAATGTCACATGGTCTCTCTCCAGCTGGAATGACAGGAGCTGAAAGAAATATGCGACCTTGAGGACACCATAACCTATGAATGATGGGCTAAGTAAGACCAGAAACCCAAAATGAGGGTAACAGAGAGTGGCACTAAGGCCCTAAGTTCTCACTAAGGTGAGAACCTAAGTGAGAACGTGACCAAGAAGGGGGAATTTTTAAATTTATTTATTTGTTTGTTTATTTATGTATTTATTTATTTTTGAGATGGAGTTTTGCTCTTGTTGCCCAGGCTGGGGTGCAATGGTACAATCTTAGTTCACTGCAACCTCCGCCTCTCAGGTTCAAGCAATTCTCCTGTTTCAGCCTTCTGAGTAGCTGGGATTACAGGCACCCGCCACTATGCCCGGCTAATTTTTGGTGTTTTTAGTAGAGGTGGGGTTTCACCATGTTGGCCAGGCTGGTCCCGAACTCCCGACCTCAAGTGATACACCAGCCTCAGCCTCCCAAGGTGCTGGGATTACAGGTGTGGGCCACCAAGCCTGGCCAGGAATTTGTTAAACAAAATTCTGGGAGGCCATTGTTTTGGACTAAGCTCATGCACTAGGCCCCAACAAACCAAACCAAAATGGTGTCGCTTTTGCTAAGACTTTAAGGAATCACATAGATTCTAGAACAGACCAGGTTTTATTTTTTTCTCCTGCAAATCTCTATGACAAACATTCTTGACAACATAGGTATCCACCCCCTGAAGTTCCCATTAAATCTTTTAACCAAATTCATTTCCTCTCGCATAGAGACCATCAAGCTTCAGATAAACATGCAACAAAGGTTCCAGCCAGTTGCAGGTGAAGACACCACCCCTGGCCATCAAGAAGCTACCCTGCCTCCACTATACAGAGCAGGGTGAGAGTTCCTTGATCCCCAATAGGTAGGGACTACGCCCCAAGCCAGCATGAAGCAGTTAAAGAAAAAAGAAGACTATTGGTCTCTCTGCCTCCCATAAAGATTTATGGAGATCACCTCTCAGGGAAGAGATGAGGCAGGAAAATAGGGTCTGGAGGCAGGGAACATAAGGCCGATTCACACTTCAGCTGTAGAGGAAATGTCCTCTCCATAGGGCGTAGGCCAAGTAAAAGACTTTGTAACTTTACTTCATCCTCTTCATTTGCATAGGGCACACCCCAAGTAACCAGTGGAATCCTCTAGAGGGTATTTAATATTCCCAAAATTCTATAACGGTGCCCTTGAGGCCCTATGCTTGGGCCCGCTCCCACACTCTGGAGTGTACTTTCATTTTCAATAAACCCCTTCATTCCTTCCTTGCTTTGTGTGTTTTGTCCAATTCTTTGTTCAAGACGCCAAAAACCTGGACATCCTCCACCGGTGACATTATCAGCCTCACTTTTCCTGCCCATCTGGACTCAGGAGGGTCGTGGTAGGTGGGGAGGGATGCTCTAGGTTCAGCATGGTTTTCTTCAGAGGCAGCAGGGAGTTGTGGGCCTGGAGCCCACTGCTGGACCCCAACACATCCCACCCTGTTTCTAACCAGCCCTTGTCAAGGTCCTGTAGCTTAAGTCATTGGCTTATGGCACCAAAGTGTATTTTTAAATTCTTACTGACCCAAAACCAGTTTTGAATAAACAGGCAGTTCTCAGGGTGGTCAGCAGACACCCGCTCCACCCAGCAGCTGCTTCGTAATCACAAGCTACCTCCCATAAAGGGGGATCAGCCCCACAGGAAGTTGCTGCCCCTACAGGAAGTTCCTTCTAGAACCCCTGCAATGGGAGGCCTGGTACATGCGGGACTCCAGGCTGTCCTTGAAGCTGATAACACAGGAAGCCGGGAGACAGGCAGTGAGCCAGAGGGGCAGGTGTGGAAGGGAGGGGTTCTTATCAGATAGTGTGAGAAAGCCTCAGAGCCAACAAGTCCCCTGTGGTTCCCAGAGGGGCCTGTGCCCTCTCTCTGCATCCTCTGAGCCGCACCCCTCTCTCTGGGGCTTCCTTGTGAAGTTCCCTGTACCCACCCAGGGTTGCATGGGATGTTTGCTGCAACCAGACAACCTCCTGCAGGGCCGGGTCTACTCACCTACTGACACAGTAGAACGCAATCAGTCTGAAGATGTCCTCAAACACAAGAGCTGAGCCTTCCAGGTACAAAACTGGGGAGAGAGAAGAAGGGCCCTGGGTAAGGTAAGTATCCCACCAAGGAAAAGGGGGGAAGGAGGCAGCAGGGACTGGGTGGGGGGGCATGTCTGCCACACTCATTCTGGGTCCCATGCTGGGCTGCATGTGGCTCCATACACATCAGCTGTCAACAGGACCTTAAGTGAGAAAGGGACTTCCTTGTCAATCCACTGAGATTTCAGAGGATTACCTATTTGTAATTAGTCCATTTTCACGCTGCTGATAAAGACATACCTGGGCCAGGCGCAGTGGCTCACGTGTGTAATCCCAGCACTTTGGGAGGCCGAGGTGGGCGAATCACAAGATCAGGAGTTCAAGACCAGCCTGGCCAACAGGGTGAAACCTGTCTCTACTAAAAATACAAAAAATTAGCCAGACATGTTGCCTATAATCCCAGCTACTTGAGAGGCTGAGGCAGGAGAATCATTTGAACCTGGGAGGTGGAGGCTGCAGTGAGCCGAGATTGCGCCAGTGCACTCCAGCCTGGGCGACAGAGTGAGACTCAATTAGAAAAAAAAAAAAAAAAAAAAGACACACCGGAGACTGGATAATTTACTTAAAAAAAGAGGTTTAATGGACTTACAGTTCTATGTGGCTGGTGAGGCCTCATACTTATGGTGGAAGGCAAAAGGCACGTCTTCATGGTGGCAGACAGAGAATGACAGCCAAGCAAAAGGGGTTTCCCCTTACAAAGCCATCACATCTCATGAGCCTTATTCACTATCAGGAGAACAGTATGGGGGAAACTGCCTCTGTAACTCAATTATCTCCCACCAGGTCCCTCCCACAACACGTGGGAATTATGGGAGCTATAATTCAAGATGAGATTTGGGTGAGGACACAGCCAAACCATATCACTATTAGGATAGCTGGTGTTAATATAGACTCATAATTTTGGACAAAATAACAGAGAAGGTTCTAGACTGTAAATGCAGAATTAAACATTTAATAGATCACAGTCATCCCAAGCAACAGTCTCAGAACTTGGCAATTGTGAGGCCCAGGAAAGGCCAGGAGGAAGGGTGTTGCCCAGTTCTGCCTCAGCCTCCAGGAGGAACATGGGTCTGGGGCACTGAAGTGGGGCCACTGGTCTGTCACCCAGATCTCCAGGGCCTCTCAGAACCTAACCTGATTGGCTGCACAGCTCACCCAAGGGCGAGGGCTACCCTGATGTTTTACAGCTCTGACAAGGAAGAGGGATCAAAGCATTTGTTAAAAATCCATGCCAAGGTGGACGGGGCTCCTCGGAGGGACAGGGTGCCAGGACGCCGCCGTCAGTGCCTGCAGCTGGAGCCAGACTGACCAGTGGAGAACACGGCACCATGCTCTGCCCTGCTTGGGAGAGCTAGGGCGAAGGAACCAGAAAGGTTCAGCAGGTTGTTGGAGGTCCCACTGTTCATCAGTGCCCTGCAGGCACCTGCCCCACAACTCTTGACTCATCCTCACACTCCCCACACCCACGGTCATGCTCCCTGCACGTGGGAGCCCCACATGAGTGCCCTCTGGCTCCAGAGGGGCCAAGAAACACGTGCATGTCCCACTGTGGTCCTGGTCTCCCAAGGTTCTAGTTTCCATGTGATGGAGAGGGAAGGCAGGACCCAGCTTCCAGGTCTGGCTCTGAGCCTGGAACGGACAATGAGGCCTCAAGTGTGCCCTTTCTCCGCTCAGTGCCTCTGTCCTTCTACCTGTAAAGGGAAAGGAGTTCTTCCCTAAAGCCACATGCACATAGGTGACGTCAGTTTGTGGTCCTGTTTTCAAAGCCCAGGACAGCACTCCACAGCATTAGAGGTCTGTGAGATGCTTATAGCGATACACAAACCAACATGTTGTGTTCAATTAACTTCATTTTTATATTTGCCTTCTTTCTGCATATCAAACACTGTTCTTAACGGTTCACATAATTAAAAAAATAAGTATTTGTCTATGGCAAGGAGATCATGGTTTCCCACTGGGACAGAGACAACATTTTAAAAGAGAATTTAAGTAAAATATTAACTAGATGGTGGTACAGGAGGCATTTGGAGGATGCCTACAAATGACTTAAGTCTGAGAGACCCTGGCCGGTGGTGTTGGAATTCACAGGATGGCCCGGGCGTCCCAGTGCCACCTAGTGCCCGCATGTGGTGCACTGCCGACTCCTTCCACAAGGGGCAGCACAGGCGTGGCCAAGGGAGGCTGGGGCCAAAAGACTTCCAGCAGCAGGGAGGGGAGACAGAGGCTCCATATATATAAGATAGGAACGGAAGGAAGGACCTTCCTCAGGAATGCCTGGAGTGGGTTAGTGGTAATGCACACAAAAAGCCCAGCCTACATACCAGGCATACTCAACAATCAGTAGCTTTCCTTCCCATTGAGGCAAGGCCTGATTTTTGCAGAACACAGATAAACTTTGAAGATAAAGTCAGTCACGCCCCCTTCTGTGCCTGCTGGCACTTTACACAAAGCCCTGGACTCCCTTCCTGAAACAGCATCCCTACAAGGCTTTGGTACTTAGTCCACTAGATAATAGGTTAGCCGTTAGTGCAGGAACTAGGGCTTACTCGCTTTGGCAGCCAGGGCCCAACACGGTGCTATATGCAGAGGCCCGATTACTGTTTTACTGTTAAAACCCTAGATTTGTAAAATCATAAGCAATGCTTACGACTCATGCTTGTTTCTTTGCAATGAAACCTCTCCTCTGGCCCCAGCCCCCGGCCCTTCTGCCACCTTTCCATTCCTGACTATGCAAACAGCATCCCTTCACACCAAGGCCACACACGGGGAGGTCCTGCATGCTGGGGCAGGGTTTGGTCCATCTTTGAGTCTCCCTTAGTGTCCAGCACAGTGCATGGGAGATTGATGAATGTTTGCTAAGTCTGCCTGGGAAAGATACCCCAGAGGGGTAAAGGCCACAGGGGCATCATGGACAGGGTCTTGGACCACTTACCATGTGATTGATGGCCCTTCCCTCTAGGGCCCCAAAGGAACACCTCAGACTTGAGGAAGTCCCAACAAACAGCCTCACACCTTTCTAGAACACGGGTGAGTGCAAATTGGCACAAGACAAACAATCCTTTGTTCGGATGGGTGGTAGGTTTAGCTTCTAGACTGTCCCCTGTCCTGTACCGCACTGGCCAGTGTCTTGCGTGTGGGTTCCCAGGCCACGCCACCTGCACGTGAGCATGTTCCGAGGTTGTTGCTTCTCCTTTCTGTGCCTCAGTTTCTTCACCTATAAAACAGGTGATATGGTTTGGATCTGTTTTCCCACCCAAATCTCATGTGCAATTGTGATCCCCAGTGTTAGAGGTGGGACCTGGTGGGAGGTGATGGGATCATGAGGGTGGGTCCTTCATGAATGGTTTAGCACCACCCGCTTAGTGCTGTTCTCTGATAGAGTTCTTACGAAATTTGCTTGTTTAAGAGTGTGTGGCACCTGCCCCCCACCTTGCTCTGCTCCCACCATGTGAGACACCTTGTTCCCCCTTTGCCTTCCATCATGATTGTAAGTTTCCTGAGGCCTCCTCAGAAGCTGAGCAGATGCCAGCATCATGCTTCCTGTACAGCCTGCAGAACTATACCCAGTTAAACTTATTTTCTTATAAATTACTCAATCTCTTTCTTTATAGCAATGCAAGAACAGACGAACACAACAGGGGTAGTAAAGTACACACCTGTTGAGGATTGACTTGTGTTCCTGCAAAAGATATGTGAATGTGATACATGTGAATACATGTGAATCTCTAATACATGTGAATGTGAACTTATTTGGAAATAGGGTCTTTGTAGATGTAACGAAGCTGACCTCATACTGCATTAGAGTGGGCCCTAAATCCAATGGCTGGTGTTCTTGTCAGAAGGCCACATGGGCTGGGTGCGACGGCTCACGCATGTAATCCAAGCACTTTGGGAGGCCGAAGCAGGTGGATCACCTAAGGTCAGGAGTTTGAGACCAGGCTGGCCAGCACTGTGAAACCTGTCTCTACTAGAAATAAAAAAATTAGCCAGGAGTGGTAGTGGGTGCCTCGGGAGGCTGAGGCATGAGAATCGCTTGAACCCGGGAGGCAGAGGTGAGATTGTGCCACTGCACTCCAGCCTGGAGGATAGAGCGAGACTCTGTCTCCAAAAAAAAGAAGGCCATGTGAGGGCATGGGACACAGACCCAGAGATGGGAATGCCATGGGAAGCTGGAGATGGAGATTGCAGTGATGCAAGGAATGCCAGCCAAGGAATGCCAAAGATTGGCAGCAACCACTGGAATCCAGGAGGGAGGCATGAAACAGATGCTTCTAGAGTCTCCAGAAGGAACCAAGCCTGTCCACACCTTGATTTCCGATTTCTGGCCTCCAGAACTGTGAGAGAATGAGTTTATGTTGTTCTACGGCTCCCAGTTTGTGTAATTTGCAGTGGCAGCCATAAGAAGCGATTACACCACCAAATAAACATCACTGTGAGCATGAAATAAATTATGCCATGGGAGTGGCTTGGAACAGTGCCCGTGTGTTCAGTCAATGGGGATATTACTGAACTGTCATTTTACACATGCAAGGCAATGTGGTGTGAGGCAGGGGTGCAGGGAAAGGGTTTTGCAGACCCACTGGATCTCATTTCCTATTGCTCCTCAACAGTAATCCTGTCTGTTGGCTGGGCTTTTTCTTCCCTCTCTCCTATTTCTACAGTCCTCACTCCCAACTCCTTGCCTCTGCTCATGCTCTTTGTCCCGCACAGAGAATCCCTGCACCTCCAGAGTCCAGTTCTAGATCCACCTTCTACCCCAAAGCCTTCGTTTCCCAGGGATTCCACCCTCTCTCATCGGAAAGCCACACACAGGATGTGCTGCCCAAAATGCCCATCAGGGAAATGCCACCTGTGTGTTTTACTGTGAGTGAGAGGCAGGGGCTCTTGGACTATAGCCGGGGCAGGAACAGGTCTCACTTTTCCCTGTCCCCTGCACTGAGCCCAACACCATGCCTGCCACACAGTGAGGACCCGTAAAGAA